GCAGTGTGCCTATAAAATCAAAAGAAGTGGAGGGTGAATGGCAACAATGGATGTGCGAAAGATTCCTGCGTTTGAATAACTTGAGTTTGATTTTGAACAAGCTGATAAACTCTTGCTACCCTCTATAGGTCAGGTGGAGTAAAAAGCAGTCGATAGTTTGAACAGTTGAGAAATAACAGCATTCGGAAAAACTAAGCTTACAGGCTTTTTTGGAAAAGCAGCCGTTTCTGCAGACACTTAGCTGTATGTGAGGAACCAGAGAAGCTTTACGATTAAAACATTGGCCAGGAAAGAGTACAGACGAAGAGCCCAAATCTGGGTTGTGTTAAGCTTAGTCAGCTGAAAAGGTCCACTTTCACACCAACCTGACTTTAGACCAGTGACCTTGTGTTGTAGCACTTGGCTTCACGTCTGGTTTGGCAGCGTCCTTCAAGGAGTCCATAAAAATTCAACAGGCGCTATAACCAATGATATGCTAGGAGGAGGACGGGTTCAAAAAAACCCTGGCCTGAGTAATAAAAACAGCACCTGGATGAAAATCAGATTTAAACAAACCACTTGGTTCAGTCAGCACTTCCTTTGGCCCTGCGACAGTAACATTAAAGAGGGGAAAAACTCCTACACAATTACGTCTGTACAACTGCAAACCAACCGCGGTTGGGTCTTTTCTCCTGCGATCTCTCTTCCGCATTCTAAAAAGGCTGAGGAAACAATGTTCACCCTCGAAACAACAAAAAAACATCAGGCGAGGGCAGGGGACACGAGAAGGGCGAAAGCTTGGTATTCCAGTGGAGGACGTGAGTGGGGTCTGCCCACATCTGAGGAGCAGTGGGATGAGAGCCCGGGAACGACGTGCTCCTGCAAAGCCTGAGCTGCAAGCCAGGGCGGCACTATCAAAGAGCAGCACAATGACTGCTTCAAAGGCCTCGCCACCGCTCGCAGTCAGCAGTGGGAGGGAGGAGAGGGGGTTCCGCCTGCTTTCACAATGGGAGCCAGATTTACTCCCTAGGAGAGGAACTCCAGCAAAGCACAGACGACGGCTGGGGCGTGAAAGAGTGAGAAAGAGAGAAGAGGAAACGTAGTAGACGCCACATAGTTTACTGATTCCTCTGCTGCTTAGCGTGCTTAGATCCTGAAACCATCGGGCAAAAGATCTAAATGAAAGATCTGATGGGGGCGACTGTGATTTGCATATTAAATTCAACCATTTGTGCAAGTTTTTTTCCTTGTACCCACATACAGGCAAAACTCCCAGACTCTTTTTATAGCACTGAGGAGTCTCTTGGCAGCAAAACATGGAAGGAAACCTCTGGGTTTCCGCTGCCCTCAGTAATATTAACCAGTTTATCATAAGCAACTCGTACTCTTTTCCAGGGTTTAGAGTCTTGCCGAATTGAATTGAGAATGTGTTTTAAATTCCAATTCAGTCCATGAATGCAAAAATTGCAATTCCAATTTGAATGAGGAAGAATAATCATTAATTGAAATAATTTTTAAAAATCATTTAATTAATTTTTTACTAGAAAAGCAAAGTTTGTCAAGAAAGTTTTGAGGTGTGAAAAAAAAAGTTTAAAAACCTTTGAAGTTTGAAAGTTGAAATAGACAGACAGACAGACAGACAGAATTCCATTTCAACTTCCTGTGGGGTGTGGCCAATTCAATTCAAATTAAACTCATTAAATGAAAGGGAGACAATTCTTTGAATTCTACCCAACCCTGACACTTTCTAGGAAAGTGCCAAACCCCAGTTCAGGTCCAAACCTTTTCAATCCAAATCTGTTAAAGCAACCCAAGGCACACAATTCCAGCTTACTCCAAATGAAAAGGGTTTTTAGACACAAAGGGTATCAGTAATTCTGCCATTCATGGGGTTGAGGCACAGTGGACATTAAGAAGAGACAAGGCGCTCTCATCAGCACACAAGGGACTTTTAGTTTCTCTCTCATGCTTTTTCATCAAAGGCTGACATCTGACTTCTGGCCTCACTCATCAGAGACACAGAGCTGGGTAAAGATGACCCGATTCGGGCACAGCTGTCCAACAGCACTTTCTTCACAGAGAAGGCCATGAACTCTGAAGTGGTCCGTACCTTCAACGGTTTTCCACACTGCCCCCCACTATTGTCAACCACTGGAACACTAAAAGCTTTCAAACCTTCGGCCAACCACTCCCAAATGTACAGTAAACCTCATATAAGGCCTGCCAACATCATCAAACTTGGGCGAAGAATGCAGTCGCTATAAAAATCAAAAGTGAAACACTGCAGAACAGTCAGCGTAACACAGAGTCAATATCCAGGTGGCAACAAAGCAGCAAGTTGAAATGTGCCAGACTGTGGTGACTCAGAACCTTGGCTTCTTTGAATGAATAAGACTACATCTTCAGAGCCAGCTTTCATTAAAAGACCACCATTGTTACATGGCTTTCCCCATTACCAATGAAAAAAAATGCACAGTGGTGAAAAAGTAACAGCCCGGAAGGCATGTATGCCTCAGCTCAGATAACAATCTCAAAGTCTGCAAATCACAAGGGTTAGTCAGACAAAAGCTCTCACAGCTAAATCTGACAAACAGACCCAGTTGAGAACAAGAAGAGGATGTGGAAATGTTGTACGAGCAGGAAAAGTGGGATGTTTGAGGAAGAAAATTCTATAACCTGAAAGTATTCCCCATGTACATTTTTATTTCAAGGATTATGTGTCATAAGGCATGTAAAAATAAGACCTAACCTGTCCTTCACACCTAAAATAAAATGGTGAAAACACCCATGAAATTACCTCAAATTCTCCCTGAGAAATCCCCCCTTTTCCATTTCAAAACCATTAGGAGCAATCTTCAAATGCCTTACATATACATAATTCTGTCAAATATCTATTACAGTTTCCACAAAAATATTAAGCAGCACAACTGTTTTCAACATTGATGATAATAAGTAATGTTTCTTGAGCAGCAAATCAGCATATTAGAATGATTTCTAAAGGATCATGTGACACTGAAGACTGCAGTAATGATGCTGAAAATTCAGCTTTTCATCACAGCGATAAATAACATTTTAAAATAGATTAAAATAGGAAAGTTATTTTAAATTCCAATAATATTTTACAATATTACTGGTTTTACCATATTTTTCGTCAAATAAATCCGGCCTTGATGAATTTAGAGAAGTCTTTCAAAAACATTTGTATGAAATCGTACTGACCCCAAACATTTGAATAGTAGTGTGTATTTAATACATATTTTGTCTTTAAATTTAATATTAAACAACAGATTTTCTTAAAAAAACAAAAACAAAGAGAAAGAATTTCTCTTGTCTTACGGTCTTTTAATTGGATATTTTAACTGGAAAAGCTGGATTTAACTGGATTTTTTTTTTTTTGCACTTTTGTATGCTATTATAATCATATCCATTATCAAAAATATTATCACCCTTTTTTGTTTAAAAATATTTAAGTGCACACTGTATAATTTGGAAGACGAGTAAATATAAAAGACAATGTAATGTTTCTCAGTCTGTCGGATCTGCATAAATTGACAAGCGGTGGCAATATTCTCTGCTTTATGTATATTATCATGCTCTGTTGCTTCAAGTGAATTTCAATTGGATATTTTAACTAGAAATGCTGGATTTAACTTTTTTTTTTCTCACTGTTGCATGTTATTATGACCCTATCCATTATCAAAAATATTATCACTCTTTTTTTTGTTTAAAAATATTAAATTTCACACTATATAATTTGTAAGGTGAATAAAAAAAAAGACAAATCTGCTGTTTCTCAGTTTGTCGGATCTGCAAAAATTGACAAGCGGTGGCAATATTTTCTGCTTTATGTGTATTCGCTTAAGGCTGCCACGATGAATCAGTTGGGGCATCCATCCACATTTCGCTTGGCACCGCTAATTATTGGATCGAAGTTAGAGCGCCTTTTAGCTGCGTTTTCAAAGCAATTGCAGCCCACAGGAAAAAAAAAAGAATAAAGAGTGCGAAACAGTCCAAATTGTGTTCGGGAGCCACAGGGTAGTGAACTGATCAACCGTAAAACCTTTGTCTTGTAGGTTTTTGGGTAGGACCAGATTTGTCACATCTGCGCAGCTTTCATGGCAAAAAGAAGTGGAATAACAGGATGTGGGGTGACTTAATAAGAGAAGGAAAAAATTGATTTTAAATAAAATAAATTCTCTTACTTACTACTGTACTAAATTCTCATAGACTTTCACCTGACAGAGAGGATCTTCTTTGTTTAGCAAACTAACTTCTTTTAGGCCAGTTGCTAGTTTAATCGCTAGAAAATTAAAACGCACAGCGCAAGCCAAATATGCTGGCAAGGGCTTCGTTCATTCACAGGGTTGGCTAGATAACACATGGGGGCCATATGGGTGAATGCTAAAAGAGTTAGCTTACATCTGGGTCGACTCTTTCAATACCATCCCAGTTTCCAAATGTTCTCGAAAAACTGAAAAAAGCACCAGTCCAACATGGCCGTGAGCCACATGATTGTATGCTGATGCTGCATGCCAAATGTTAAAGATGGAAGAAATGAATGAGGACAGAAACCTGATAGTGTGGACTTGATGTTCTGAGCTGACTTTGTCGACATTATTCTGTTCTGTGATCTTTCAGACAAATGGTATGCTTGCAAACTGTTCTTGATAAAAAGCACTGGTCTTCTGAAACTACTAATGCGCCACCCAATGCCACAAGCCACACATCATTCTACAGGAAAAGGGATGTAATGGAGTTCTTAAAAAAGAGTTAGGAAAGAAAAATGACTTGTCACAACAATTCATCAGTATGTTCGGAAGAGGAAGCCCTGTAACATTAGCACACAATCACACGATGCAAACAACAGCTTTCGCAATACAACAGTGAATGGTTGATTGGTGAACTCAAAGTGGGCCTTTAGGATTAGTCTCATGTTTTTCAGATTGCTAAGAACCACATTAGAAAATAGGGAGTTTACCACATCATGACTCAATCAGACCAGAGGTATGGAAGAGGCTCTTACCATTGTTCAGATGTACGCCGTTTTCATTCTCTGGCCTGTACCTGCAGGAAATCGTAGCTTTTAATTACCAGGATGTGCCTCCAAATAACTCCCAAGTCCATCTCTGGTCTTAGTTGTCAATGTAGGGCCAACAAACAGAATTTGCTGGCCTATTTAACACATCAACATTGTTCATTAAAGGAACATTTCATCCAATAATGAACATTCAGTCAACATTTACTCATTCTCATGTCGTTACAAACCTTTATGATTTTCTTTCTTCCACTGAACAGAAAGGGAGAATTCTGAATAATGTGCCGAACGAATCAATCAGGTTGATTCTTGTGAATTTGATTAAACGATTGAAATGATTTGCCCACAAATTAGTCATATGGACACATTAAGTTAAGTTTTACTGCATTTTTTGTCATTTGGTAACTTGACGGCCTTAGTTCTCATTCCTCAAAAATTCACCTTTCATGTTCCATAAAGGAAAAAAAGTAATATCCACTTGGAAAAACATGAGTGAGTGTAAATGAAGCCAGAATTTTCATTTTTGTGTGAGCTGTTCCCGTAACTTGTCCACAACTCGTCTAGACTTGGCGCCAGATATACATTGAATCGTCAAAAGTACAAGCACACATCACTAATGCATTTATAAAAGGGAAAATAGTCAGCAAAGTTAGAAGCACTGTCGGAAGCATGTGGACTTTAAAACAGACTAATCCTAAAGACTTAATTGTGAGGAGAAGATGGAAAGATGGAATGGTGGGGTGGGTGTATTGTTCATAATGTTGCAAACATTACAGATTAAAGAAATATGCAAAACAGTAAAACCGCATGACTTCTGGATTTTCAGGCAACCAACAAAGACTTAAATTCATAAATGTACTTGTTGACTATGAAAACATCCTTTTATGATTGAAACTGACTGTGTGAAAGCGTATTGAGAATGCGGTATCCCAACATTAACCACTTACCACCATATTCACAAACTAAGTCACATAAAGCTAAGTTAGTGCGTACATTAATGAAAGAAAACGAATTACAGGAGGGATAGAAGGTTTAAGAGTCTTACCTGAAGCAGGTTCCTGGATCTTTTCCCGCTTCCGCTTCTTTTTCTTTCCCTATAAAATAGCCAGAGGAATATTTAAAGCGTCATCACAGAAGCATGACATTTCTGCCATTTATGAAGTCATTAAAAATAAAAAAATTAAATTAAATTCAAATAAGGTCCAATACTCCTTCTTAATTCTTCTGGATTGCGTGGTCTAATTACCACACAAAAATATATATATTTTTTTAAATAAATAAATATAATTTAAAATTAAATTAAATTAAATAAGACCAATACTCCTTCCTAATTCTTCTGGATTGCACTGCCTAATCCCCACAAACAAATTAATTAATTAATTAATTTTAAAAATACAATAACAAAACCATATAAAATAAAGCTCCAATACTCTAATTCTTCTGGATTGCATGGTATAATCACCAATCAGAAAGTTAAACAAGAATAAAACATCTGCCCCAGCTCCAATTGACACGACAAACACTCCTCTAGAGTGAGAAGTCTGGACTGCTTTAGGATTCATAGCTTACCCAAAATCCCCTGGCAGGATGACTATAGGTATAGATAGCGCCGCACTGTCATTTTGCAGTCCAATATGAACCACGCTTTGGTCGCCTGCTGTAAAGTCTGATAATCCACTTATTCAGTCACTAATCTGTGTATTCTAGCCCTGGCTGACAGAACCAAGAAGCCCAGAGCAGTAGAAACGTCTATGACGGAGCAGGGATACACTCAAAATCCTTAGCACTAATAAATACAAGTGTGCTCCCACCACTAATATATAAGTGGAGATGAAAGTTCATCTGTCTTTGAAGTGTTTCTTTTTAGCCCTGTTGCCTTTCCATTTGGTGATTAGTGTGAAAGCCAGGTTTTAGTTTTAGCATCACATCCTGGCACTTCATATTGAGTGAGATTTATGCCGGTTGAAACTTAAGCGTCCAAAGTTGTCATCACAACATACATTTGAGATGTGAATTCTACAAGCTAACTGCCTTGATATCTGCCACATTTGTATAAACTAAAGGATTAATTGTATAAATGTAATAATATTGAGTAAATGGTGAGCAATATGTCTCTTCTGGAAAACCTTTTTCTTAATGAGGTTTAGTGTGTGACAGCTGTAAGAGCTCTGAAGGCAGTTACTCATGAAAACAGTAGAAGCTTTTAATGGCCATTCAAATAACGTCCAATATTTTTGGCATAATAAAATTATTATAATAAGATGTAATTGATAATCATGTTCCATAAGCAGAACAGAAATTAGTAATTAAAAAAAAAAAAGCATTCCAGTGTGGACTGCATTTAACAACTATTTACTTAAGAAAATTTTTAGACAATTTCTTGTTATACAGAAATTTATGTTCATGTTTCTGAGCCTCATTTATGAAACAAGCAGAATAAACTGTGTAAGTAGCTCATAAATTCATTCTAATGAAGGAGCATTTGTACAAACAATTTACACAAATTTGTTCCACTTTTGGTTCACGAATCAGTGCGTAAACTGGTACAATGCAACAATTTGTGCAAGAATGTTTTCATGGAGAGTTTACACAAATTCATTCTGCTCTGGTTGCTCACGCACATTTATGAAACTTGATCAAAACTAATTCAGGTAAATCAGTCATAAAACCATAAGTAAAGTATCACTGTCAATGCAACAATTTACACAAGAAAGTTTTTAGAAACAATTTACAGAAATTCTGTCTGTTTGTTTCGGAAACCCATTTATGAAACTCAAGCAGAATAAATTCTGTAAATGAACAAACTGTATGCAAACAGTTACATTCAGTGCAATAGTTTAAGTTTGTATGAGCAATTTACTCAAATTTGTGCTGCTTATGTTTCATGAATAAAGTCCAATGTATTTTTTAAATTAACAAATACAACAAATTGTTAATTAAAGGGATAGTTCACCCAAAGATTTTGTCATCATTTACTCATCCTCAAGTTGGTAACTAAACTAAAATACTATGAAAGTCAATGGCTACCGTCAACTGTTTGGTTACCTACATTCTTCAAAGTATCTTACTTTTGTGTTCAACAGAAGAAAGAAACTCGTACAGGTCTGGAACAAGTGGAGAGTGGGCAAATTATGACAGAATTTTCATTTTTGGGTGAACTGTCCCTTTAATTCAGGTATCAGAGAAATTTTGGTATCTAACTTGTGAATATTTTGTTCAATAACAGTTAATATGTTGCAGTATCATTCAGTCCCTTCGGACTTCATGTGAATAGGCCTTTAGACTTTCCTGACAGAACAACCTCTTCTCAAACTCATTTTACAACAGTTTTTTTATAAGATTAACATTTGGACTACTAAGCAAACAATCAAGACTTGTGAATCATGTCCTCTACAGTAGTGACTATGCATATACTTTCACTTTAAAAGACAAGCATTATATTTACTTTCATGCAAATCAACACATGACAACTCTCAGGCAGTGTGTTAGTGTGGACACTTACATAATTGTCTCTGGCAGACCATCCTGGGTAAAGCTGCATATGGAGCTGCCGTTCCTTGCGGGCTAATTCGTAATACTTAGCTTGCTCTTCCCGAGATAAACCATGCCACTGTTCAGTGCAGAGGGAGATTAGAGAGGGGGGGGGGTAGTCAATTACTGACATGCACTTTTAAGTTTCTTCCAAAGAGACGCGTGCTTGCGTTTGGCTAAAAATCCTTGTTAACTCTCAAATGTTGCGTGTGTGCGGGGAAATGTGTGCGAGTGCATGTGCACGCGTGCCTGGGGGTGGAATGGAACATGATGAAGAGATTAACATATGCAGCGATGAGAGAAAGGAAGAAAAAAAAACTTTGATTTCATATCAAAACACTGGTTCCAATTTAGCGGCGTTTTACTTCAAACCATGTCAGGGTGCAATTACCCCACACTGCCGCAAAACAGTCCTTTGCTGTGGCTAGCTGCCTCAAACCGCAGAGGCTTTGGTTAAAGCATTAAATATGTTTAACGGTTCCTCTTTTCCAATTCCAAAATGGAGGAACATAGACGCTACCTGCCCGAATTTCTGAGCTGCCAGCTTGTGTGTTGGTGTACTTGTTAAATTGAGTTAGACAGAAGTGCCAACTACAATAGACTCCTTTGTGAAGGAGGTCTCATGGCGCGAGTGACCCGTGAATCAGATACGTACCCTCCGCCCGAGGATCTGATTGATCGCGGCGCTCTCCTTCAGCGTGCATTCGGCCACCACATTGGCACGCATCTCTTTCATATACAGCATGAAAGCGTTTAGAGGTTTCTTAATGTGAGGTCTTTTGGGCTCCTGCTCCTTTCTCTGGTCGTGATGAGGTTTCCTGGAGAAACAGAAGGAGGAAAGAGTTAAAAAAAAAGTGGGGGAAGAATTATTAAGTGATACAGGGAAATACAAAGGGGGAAAAAATGCTCAGGGGGTGGTGCGAAAGCGGCTGCCACAGTGACGCCATGGAGTTTGAGAGCGCTGAATGTCTGATTCCAACCACCAATCGGAAGGCTGCATGAGAGAACAAACTGGGAGCCAGTGCTGAAAAGCTAGCAGTGGCTTTTAATTATGTCCAGTTGGGTGCTTTCATGCAAAGAGATTACTTCACCAGTAATGGCAACCAAACTTTCATATTCCCTCCAACTCTATGACTCCCAAGCCCTACAGCTCCCAGTATTTCACTCCCATTGGTGACCTGGACCTGATACCTCAAGCCAGCTGCATGGCTCATAACGGTCAAAATTAGAAAAAAATAAAATAAATATACAACAATAAAAACTGGAGCAGATACTTCATGTTATGGCTGATAACGGATAAACGGCTGATAATAAATTTCAAGATA